GATCCTCATTTCAATTCTTCTGGATAAATACCCAGAAGTGAGATTGCTAGATCATATGGTAGTTCTTTTTTTTGAATTTTTGAAAAATCTCCATGCTCTTTTCCATAGTAGCTGCACCATTTTGCATTCCAACAGTATACCAGGGTGCCAATTTCTCCATATCCTTACCAATACTTGTCTTTTGTCTTGTTCTTATATACATAATAGCCAACCTAACAGGCGTGAGGTGATATCTCATTGTAGTTTTGATTTGCATTTCCGTGATTAGTGATGTTGAGCATTTTCCTGTTGGCCATTTATATGTCTTCTTTGGAGAAATGTCTAGGCAAGTCTTTAGCCCATTTTTAAATCAGGTTATTAGTTTTTTTTGCTATTGAGTTGTCTGAGTTCCTTATCTATTTTTGATATTAACCTCTTATCAGATACGGTTTACAAACATTTTCACCCATTCCATAGATTGCATTTTTACTCTGTTCATTGTTTTCTTCACTACACACAAGTTTTTGGTTTGATATAGTCCCACTCATCTAATTTTGCTTTTGTTGCCTGTGCTTCTAGTATCATCATTGCCAAGACCAATGTCCTGAAGCTTTTCCCCTGTTTTCTTCTAGGAGACTTAGTTTTACAGTATCAGGTTTTATGTTTAAGCCTTTAATCCTTTTCAGTTGATTTGTGTATGAGATAAGGGTCCAATTTCATTCTTTTGCATGTAGGTATCCGGTTTTCCCAACACAACTGCTGAAGAGACCATCCTTTCTCCACTCTTGACAGCCTTTCAAGTATCAGTTGACCAAGTATGTGTGCATTTATTTATGGATTCTTTAATCTGTTCCACTGGTCTATGGCTATCTTTTTGCCAGTACCATACTACTTTAATTACTGTAGCTTTACAATATATTTTTAAATCAGGAAATGTTTTGTTGTTCTTTTGTTGTTCCAGCTTTGTTGTTCTTTCTCAAGATTGTTTTGGCTATTTGGGGTCCTTTGTGGTTCCATATGAATTTTGGAAATTTTTTTTCTATTTCTGTAAAAAAATGCCATCGGGATTTTCATAGGGATTACATTGAATCTGTAAGTTACTTTGGTTATTATGGACAATTTAACAATAGAGTCTTCCAATTTATGCACATGGAGTGTCTTTCCATTTGTTTCTAATTTCTTTCATCAATGTTTTCAATATAGAAGTCTTTCACCTTTTAGTTTATTCTGAAGTATTTAATTCTTTTTGATGCTACTGTAAATGGGAATGTTTTTCTAATTTCGTTTTCAGATATTTCATTGTTGATGTACAGAAATGATTTTTGTTATGGTGATTTTGTATCCTGCAATTCA